TCTTGATGTCTCGTATGTGCAAATGACCATAATGCCCTCCTCATCCTCTTTATTAAAAATAGCCCTAGAAAGCTTCTGCAATAGAAATTGATGAATGTTTGCTTAATAAGAAATCTAGATAAAGTTACAAACTACCCATTCGTTAATTTTTTTTACAAAATAAAATAAAAAAAGTGACATAATTACTTGATGATAAGTCAAACCAGAATACCATCATTGATAATGTCATGATTCCTACACATGTCATGATGTCAATCATATCATGATAACCCAAAAAACAAACATAAATTTTCCATATTTTCTTACATGAATAGGCCTAATTTTAAAGGATGGAAATGGAAAGAAATAAAAAAGGATTGATGCATGGTAATCAGGTTATGTCTTCAACCAAAAGAAATTAATACTCATACAATTCTAAAAGTATGAACTATAATGTTTCCATATATACCCTTAACTTAGCTAAGAACTTCATCAATGTGAGTAATTAGAATTTATGATTGAGTAGAATTGTAATTCAAACTTTTTAACAACAGGAAAGAATAAGATGAAGCAAGCGATTAATTTAGTTCAATATAATAGTTAAATAAGTACTTTTAACCATACATTAATCTCTGTGGAAACCTTAAATGCATTTTAAAAAAGAAAATAAACATATATAAATAACACACATACTATAAGAATATTGACATTGCTGATGTCATTATTTCTCCAAAAAAATTCCAAATGCTTATAAAGTTGATGACTGACAAACAAAATAAGTTTGTATTTATATGAGAGTAGTCATGCAAGAAAGCAAGCACGACACCTGTTCAAATGCCACATCAGCATGTCATTAACTTTTTTTCATCACAAGAGTAATAAAGACATAGTTGACAGATGATAATTAGATTACATCTTGAACTAACATAATACACCCTCCAATTCAACAATTGTTCTAAAAAAATAAATATTCAGACCAATTTTATGTTTCCATATATACCCATATTCGAATCAGATTATCTTTGAAACCAACAAAATTAATAAATTAGCTATTTTCTAGTGTTTTATAATGGAAAATGCATTTATTATTACAAATTCTATAGTTTTTTATATGGTGCTTCCTTTATTTAAGATGTAAATAGTTTATGTTATTTGCTAGGTCCCATCTTTTTTATTCATAAATGGGACCCACAATCACAAATTCATTTTCCTCACTTCAAAGTTCAAATAAATATGACCCATTGAACGAAAACGTTAAATTACTAAAAATAAATATTCCCAACATGCTATTTTAGGAAATAACAAGTATAATGATTACCTTAATTCATACCTTATTGCATGTGATCAACCTTAACTTTACCTCTTGTTGACTGATTCAAAGATTTAAGGCCTGCAATTTAACTCCAGTTCAAAGTTCATCAAAATGGATTTTGACTAAAACGCCCTTCTATCGATCACCACAAAAGTTCTGCAACAGAAAATGATAAATATTTGCTTAATAAGAAATTTAGATAAAGACACAAACTGCCCCTCTGTTATTTAAAAAAGATAAACATGATATACTTGATGTCATGACTTCTATACAAAAAACACACAAATGCAATATTATCATGTTAACCCAAAGAAAGAAATTAAATAAATTTCCAATTTTTTTACAACATTGTTGACATTAAACATGAGTAGACCTAATTTTAAAGGTGAACATGGAAGGAAATAAAACTCGGTTGATGCATATTTGCTTAATAAGAAATTTTTATAGCAGCCTTGATTAAGAAATATTTTTTATTATTACAGAATTTATCATGCATCATGCAATATTTAAGTGGTTAACATTATTTCAATGCATATGTACTTTTTAACCATGTTTAAACTTTATGTGGAGACAAAATATACATCTTAAAAAGGAAAAATGGGGTATGTGATTAATATACTTCAAAATATACGTACTTTTAACTATATCTATATTCCAAGTTACAATATCCCCAAAAAAGCAAAGATGAGAGAAATAATTAGCATTAATGAAGCTTTTACTGAAAAAGAAAGGTGAGATTGTAATTAATGTTAATTCAACAATTATGTGCTTTTGATCATATTTTCAACATTGTGAAAGTCAAATACAAGATCTCAAAAGGTAATATAGAGGTATCATTATGGAAAAATAATGAATGAACTTAACTATCAGGAATTTAGAATTTTATACCCTTTTACACAACACTTTGAAGAAGCCTTTTGCTGAATTGAGAAATAGCAATGGTCAATACCACCTGAAAATGAAATTTTATGTGTATTAGATTAATAAGAAATCTAAATAAAGAATGTAACACAATTACATGCATATTATAAGAATATTGTCATTGCTGATGTCATAATTACTCTAATACTTTCCACATGCCAATAAAGTTGATGACTAAGATACTAATTCAAAGAAACAAACAAAATAAATTTGTACTTATATGAAACTAGTCATGCAAGAAAGCAAGCACGACACACGTTCAAATGCCACATCAGCAGCATTAATTTTTCTTGTTTTGGCATCAAGAAAGTTGACCAAAAGTCATAAAGATATAGTTGACCAATGATAATCGGATTACATCTTCAACTAACATAATTATTACACCCTCCAATTCAACAAGTGTTCTAAAACAATAAATATCCATACCGATTTTATGTTTCCATATACATTTGTAATAGTAATAATTTGTAATAGTAATAGTAATACACCCTTCAATTTGTATATTTTCCATATATACAATATCATGCTTAACAATCCTAAAGTAGAAATCTAATTATTTGGACAATAAATAACTAAAATATCTATATTTTTCGGATGTATGGAGCATAAAAGAGTGGAATTTTCACACAAGTGTAAGGCTAAGTGAAAGACATTGAAGGAAGCATAGTTGTAAAACAAGGTTAAGTGAATAAATTTTGGAGTCTATGTATTTAATATCTTAGATCTTTGGTGTGTTTATAATGGAGAGCTTTATTAAGAATATAAGAACATATTTATTATTACAAATTTAACTCAACGGATATAGTTTCTATATATGGTGCTCCTTTGCCCAAAACTTTCCGTGAACTATTTTGTAGGTCCCATCTTTATTACTCATAAATGGGACCCACAATTCCTTACTTCACATAAATACAACCCACTAAAAGAAAATGTTAAACATCAAAAATAAATAGGCCTAACCTTCATTTCTTATAAGTTCTTATGAGATTTCTTCTTCTCTTATATACAACATGTACCATAAAGTCATAAACTAATGTCTTTAATTCTAGACTAAGTTTTACATAGAAGTAGCAAATAGGCATCTTCATTCTCCATCACAATCTTTTCCATAATTGCCCTTTAAGTCGCACAAGGAAATTGTTCATATTGTTTTATCGGCCTCCCTCTTTTCATTTTGTGAACCTCTACCCAACTCCTAGAACGCCCTAGATCACAATATCATGAGTGGCATTGTGACTAGTTCGAGGGTAGTTTGGTAATTGTGACTTGTGAGGTTAGTTGATCTATCACTTGGGGTGAGGGATCACACAGTTTCTTCTTAGAAAGACGAATCATAAGAAGGTACTAAAGTTGCCATTACTTAAGCCCGTGTAATTGCAACCTACTTTCATTAATTTGTTATTATAGCATCCTACTTTCATTTCTTTTTATTACAACATTATACTTCAAAAATTCAACCCACTTATAGTAATATATCCATTCGTATACACATACAAGATACATACATATACATATATATATACACACACACACACACACACACACACAGAGAGGAATAAGTTCAAATAAAAACACTAAATAAAGTGAGAACATGAGAACGCTACTTTTATGTTATTATTCTGCTATGAATTTTATATGTGTAGCATTTAAGTAAATTTTAATGTGAATATTAATGTACAATTATTCATATATTCAATACTGAATAATGAAATATAACTGTATATACAAAATTCATTGTATATACAAAATTCATAGCAGAATAATAATAAAAAAGTAGTGTTCTCACGCTCTCACTTTATTTACTGTTTTTATTGGAATCATCCCCTATATATATATATATATATATATATATATATATATATATATATATATATATATATATATATATATATATACACACACAGCGTATATACCATTTTTATAGCACAACTAGCATCTTATTCACACGCAACACTTTACGTCCTAGTATTACTAGCTAAAGCCTTTCTCCCCTTTGCCTCTCCACTTAAATAACACCAAATCATTAAGGGAGTAGTCCTATATAAGTCATATATACCCTTTGACAAGTATCCCAACACCAATGAGTGTGACCAAAAGGAAGAGAAAACCCACATTTATGATCACATTAGTTATTATACGTAGTTTTCTTTCTATTCGAGTATAGTTTATCTAGACAAAATATATGCTTTACAAACAAGCAAATATTCGATCAACCGATAGTCAAAACATTTAGTCAAATTCAACATATATCTAAGATAGAAACAAGTAACAAAAAGCATGCTAGATTTACGGAAGCAAATGTATCAATCATGCAATCAATTCTTGTTTTATTTCCTACTCAACATCTTGTGCCTACTTTCTTATTATGAATTTGGTTTTTGTGATGCAATTCATGATATATATATATATATATATATATATATATATATATATGACTTAAAAAAGACGACACATGTGCAAACCTCATAAACATAGGCGCCACAACGCCCCATAAACTACCATAAAACAGTTTTAAGGAAACCACTAAACATCACATCATGAGTTTATAGTCCAATAAAAGAGTCGCTAATTGGTGACATAAGCAAAATACCATTTTTAAACATCATTTTAGTTGACTTGGCTTTGGAATGTACATGCTCCATATCATGCTTCAAGTCTCATGTACCTATAGATGATAGAATAGTGGTGTTAAAACAAAATATTAAAAAAATTGGTTTAAAGAGCTTCAAGCCCCTATGTTACACATGACAAAAGACATTAATGCCCTTCCTTTGTACTTACATAAATACTACGGTTTTAAAATCGTACGGATTTCTTCAATTGCTGCATCCATGCCATTAATAACCATATTCTTGACCTAAATAGAGAATTTTCTTACATTAGTAATACTATCCACATATACATATCCAAAAAAAGAAATATTATGTTAACTGTTAAAATATTCACCTTTGGCATTGCCCCTTTGGCTTTGTGATTTACAGGAAGTCGGCGAATTTCATCGCCTACTTTAATGCAGTTAGTTGCACTTTCGGGTGAGATGAAATCCAAAACCACATTAACACATGACTACACATAAATAAACATCTAATGTTAAATGCAAGAAATAGCAACTTACTTTCATTTATTTGTTTATTAATTATTATAGTATGCTTCTTTCGTTTCTTCCTAGTAAAACATTTTAATTACAATGTGGTAGTAGAAAGAAATGGAAGTAGGATGATATAAATGTAATACACAAATAAATTAAAATATGTTGCTAATTCTTGTATATCAGATATAACAAAACAAAAAGAATACATGTATATACATAAATTAAGGTTTTAGAGATAAGTTATAACATGTTACCTTAACTTTCTTCATTTGGTAAGGACAACCAGCTGGAATGATAACAGCTTCACCAATATGTTGCTCAAAACTCCATGGTTCAACATCTAATCATATAATAATAGAAATACAATATATTAAGTAATTAACATTAATGAGAATGATAATCAAAAAACAATTAAAACTAACTTGTTGAAAGATGGAAACTTACTGAATTCTTCCTTGATTCTCAGTTTATGAAGCTCATCTAAGTAAAAGACTTCATCAAAAAGTGGATGAACAACCTGTAATGCATGTAAAATGTAAATACGTATTTAAGTTATATCTGATAGAATATAGATTCTCGTTTATGTTTTTAAATTGAACAAAATTATACCTTTTTTGGAGAACCACAAGATTTACCGAGTTTATCAGAATACTTTTTCAGATACTCCAAAAGCTTTGGGACATCTTTTTGGTGAAAAATGTCCCACTCAATCCCATGAGTTTCAACTATTTGTTCCTCTTCATAATGACTACATGTCCCAATTTCATGTTGAGAATAAGCTGAAACTTCATCATCAGAATCAGAATCAGAATTAGAATCAGAATCAGAATCAGAATCAGAATCTTCAGTGCTTAAATCATCAGATGACATATCTACATCTTTATTTTTCGCCTCCAATTTTGGTGAACTTTCAAATAGTTTTTCGAGTTCATTTCTTGTTTTGATCTTCCTTGAAGACTTTATAGGCTCTTGTGAACTGTATTTGTTCATCAAGATCTTGACTTTATTAAGATTGTCCTCAGAAATCAGATTATCAGTAGCATATGCAAGAATATTAACCTGTATTTTTAAAAGAGGAAACATCAATAGGTTTCATATAATAACATTAAAAATAAAGTAATTGAAAAATTACCATATCATACGCATGAAAACACAATTTAGTTATAAAATCAGCATCTGTAAGATTCGGTTCACCATATGAGATACAAACACGAGGTCCCAAATTAGGGTTTCCAGTTTCATGTGAAACATTCATTGCAAGATTCATAAAACCTGTGATATATTCTTGAACAGGTAAAGATTCCATCACAGCAGCATAATGATCTGGGAAATGATCTTGAAAAAAGTTTGAAGAAAACATAACTTTGAATCTCAAAAGCTCTTGCCACACATTTTCATGTGTTACACCCCCTTTAAAAATCTGTTTTCTACCAAATTGCACATCACACCAATCAAATCCCCCTTTTGATCTTCCTTTTCCTTCACTCCTTTCAAGATACTTGCACAACAAGTAACCGAAATCCCAATTCAAATGTTGTTGACTTTGAAGCACATTACGGATTACAAGAGGTTGACCTTTACCCCAATGCTTCATAAAATGTTCAAGATTTTTATCAATCAGATCTTGCTTAGTCTTGAAATACAAACCCTTGTTTTTAATCAAGTTTCCAACTTTTTCACTACCCAATTTGTCATTTTCATCACATAGTAAGCAAGGTGAAGAAAGAAGCCCTAAAGATTTCTTGAATTTATATTTGTTTACTATTTGCTTTGCGTTTTCTTCAAGATCTTTTGTCCAACCAAAGGGGGAAAAACAAGTTAATTGGAGAAAATCTTGATTGCATCCACCTAAAGTTTGTGGTGGACATCTTATGCTTCCATCTATGCTAAATGTCCATGAAATCTTTCTTGATTTGCTTCTAACTAGCCTAGTATTCCTCAAATCTCCAAGACCTGAATGTAAGTATCCTTCATGAAACTCTTGACAACAATGAATGCAGAGAATGTAAGAGCAATATTCACAGCTTCTGTGAATGTCTGTAACCCATGAAGAGCAAAAACTGTGACAAAAATATAAGCCACAAGATCATTTAAAACAGCATAAGAAATTATTTCAAGAAACTTTTATTTGAAAATATTGAAAACCCACCTGCATATTGGCTTCTTGGGACATTCTACAAGCTGAACTAGTAATTCGGAATGAGTTCTTCCTGTATTTTAACAAATATTGAAAACCCTTTTGATTCTTGTTTTAATAGAAAAAAGAAAAAAGAAAGGACACTTTACCTTTGTTTATAGCTTCGGTTTCCAGCTCATTCATCTTTTCTTGATTTATTTTTTCCATAAGTGGAAGAAGGAGGCGAATCATGTGAAGTTGTTGACTTTTGTCAAACTTCTTTTCATGATTGTATACAACTACCTCATTTTCAGGTTCAGAAACCACCACCTCCTCCTCTTCACCATTGTAAATCATCACCTCCTCATCACAATCATAAATCACCAACTCCTGAAATATATTTCATAACATGAAAGCAAACAGATTAGGATGAGGGCATTTACGTCTTTTGCACACATTATCTTGTATGTAGGCTGTGTTTGCGTTTGTTATTCGGGACATAACAGGAATGGATAAGCTTTCTAGGGCTATTTTGATGATGAGGATGAGAAGGGCATTCACGTCTTTTGCACAAATGGAGATTGAAAGAGAGTCTCCAACTCTCCATCCCATCTTATTAAAAGATCGGACAAAAGTTTACCATTTTTGTCCCATTAACTTCCCAGAAGTTGTATAACATGTCATGTCATGTCATGTCATGCTAAAACCAGTATAAAAGTATACGATTTTTAACCTTCTTTTTAACTTCTTTAGATTTTGCTTTTGAGCAAGTTCGGCATTCACACGTCCCTTCACACACAGGACACAATCTCTTGATTGCTGTCCTACAATAAAACCTAAATCCAAGCAAAAAAAAATCTTAAATTTTATCACATAAAAGGTAATTTCAACTTCATTTATCGTTATGATCCATATAAGTAACCACAACATGTTTTTCAATGGTTTAAGAACATAGTGGATAAAGATTTTAACCAATAAGCAAGAGCAAAAACATGAGTATATTAGCATTAATGGAATCTTGGTAAAGTTATAAGGGTAAAACGGACCTTTTATCGATACATTCTTTACAAAAGAACTGTGTTTTACATGTTGAGCATTGGACAAAAACACGATAGCTGGTGTATTTGCACCAATGGCACCTCTTGATGATATTCTTCTTTGCAGATGCTTTTATATTTTCTTTTATATTTGGTAACATCTGGAAATATAAACCAAAAACAGAAAGACACAACATAAGCTATGAACTTACATTAAAAAACATCATATTTTATGTGAAAATGAGCAGTGGACAACAATTTGATCATTACTTTAACAATGATTCTTTAATCATGTTTAATAATCTATAATCATCTATGACACTAAAAGACAAAAGACAAAAGACAAGTCAGGGGTCAACCCGGCCCGTTTTGACCCGTTTATGGACTTTGACCCACCAGAAAAATCTTGAACATGTTTGACCCATTGACCAACCCACCCGACCCGTTTGACCAGCCCCAAAAAGTTACACCTTTACATTTGAGAAATGAAAATCAACCTGAATTTTGGTAAAGAGATGAATTCCATGGAAATTACCAGATTGAGGAAATTTGATATGATATACGTTTTAAAATTGTAATTTTTCTCTATGAAAAAAACTACACAAAATTGAAAACATCAGTAAAGCACCCTAAGAAATTAGGTTATAGACGAGCAAAAACATAACAATGTAGATGCGTAAATAACAAATTTGGGTATGAGAAACAACCTGAACTGTAGCAATTGGATCGGATTCAACGTTTTTAGAACGGATCGTCCTTCTGGGATATCTAGTTGCAGATGGAACCCCAACTTTCATCTTCGGAGAAACTTCTTTTTGCACAGTTCTGAATTGTAAGGACATCGGAGAAGGTTGGGGTATCACCATTTGTCCAAACATGAGATCCTTAACAACAGTTTTCTCATATTCCTGTTTGATATTATACAAGTGCAGATTTCCGTCTTGGAAAGTTAACTTGCTTCCATCCTCAAGTTGATCAGAGATTTCAACTACAGCCTCCTTCATCGGTGGTCTACCCCTTTTACGGGGTAGACGAACTGCATCCACATCCTTCAATGGCAGATTTCTTTTTCTACCCCTTCTTCTTAGGGGTAACTCGTATTCTCCGCCATGTTGAAGTGACGATTCTTCATCGACTTTAGGGACCAATTTCTTGTGCCTAATTCCGGCAAGTTTAAGAGCAGCGGGAACTGGCTCGTGCTTCAGCCGATGACAGTACTGAAGGAAGTGTGTTTCACAGTACTCTTTCCCGTCCATCACTGGCCGGCGACACCGCCATCTTCTCCCGTCAGTTCTCTTACATCCCAGCATTTTTGCGTCTTGCTGGCTAAAACAGTCGAAATTTTCAGAATTTTATGAGAATTAGCTACAAAATCAAAGCTTGGTAAAAAAAGATGAAAATCAAAGGATGTTTCTTTGAGTATTTGGGGAAAACAAGAAGAGTGTACACAGGCAGGAGGTTGATGACGTTGGTATGTATCAATGTATGTATGTGTATTGGATTCTTGTAATGTGTATTATATTTTGTGTATAGAAAAGGAGTAAATGTAAATACTTAATACAGGCCTCCTTGCAATTTTAAAAAAAAAAATTATTTCAAATGTAATTTTCTTCCATGTATATCTTTTCTAATAAATAAGGTTTGACCAACAAAAACAGAAAAAATAATATTTGAAATCAAAGTGTTCATACTTAATCTTTTTCTTGCAATTGGAAATTATTTTTTGAGGATGGTAATGAAAAAATGTAGGTTAAATCATTTATAGTTCCTTGGTTTCATGCATATTTGATTTATGATATATTTTGGTAAAATTGTGTAGATATAAATCTCTTTAAAAATTATAATATTTAAAAATTAGTTTTGACAAATACATTTTGATTTTAAGAAAGGTATATATGAAATTTTCTAAAAGAAAAGGATAGAATGTAAGGTGGTACATATTAGTTTTGTATTTTAATTAGATAATCAAGTTATCATATATAGCAATTTTATGAAGCTCACGATGTATAAAGTGCATGCGATTTGTAACAAAAAAATGTGTTAGTTATATTCGTTAATACATGTTATTTAACTTGTCAAACATGTTCATATTGTAGGTGGAAAGAAAGAGATGATATTTAATAATAAATATACATACTTGATCAGTTTATATATTTATATGTGTAAGTTGTTTTCTCAAAGAAATGGATGGTTAATATCTTTTTATGTGCATTTTAATTGAATATAAAGGTGAGTTTCAAGGGTTATATAGCTAAGAATTGAGTTTGATTTCGTTGTTAAAATTGTTAACATGTTTGTTAAGAGATATGAGATCATAATACATAGAATGTACATGGTTTACGAGACCATAATGCATATAATGCACCTAGTTTGTAATAAAACAAGTTGAATATGTCTGCTAATATGAGATATTTGTTCATAATTATCAAATTGGTTGAACACATGCATTGATTTGAATGAAGAAATAACTACTATGTTGACAGTAATTATGCATGTTTGATTAGTTAATATATTTATGTATAAGTATCGTACATTTTCGAAGAGATAAAGATGAAGACCGGGGTTATTGATCCACATAATACGTGTATCATGTTTAGTGTGTGGATTTTATAACTAGTGGATGGGGATTGGTGTTCATATTTGAAGGTGAATAATTGATATGTAATCATATTAGTTTTTTAAGACAGTTAAATAGTATATAGCATATTCCGTACATGATCATTGTTTATAATTTTTTTTTCACTAACTCGGGAAAGGAAGACACTTTATACATCATATTTTATTTATAATGGATATCACCCTTCAATTTGATCAAGCATAGGCTGGTATTTAGTATTTAGTATGTCTAAAATAGAAAGACTCCTTTAAAACCTAATCTAAAGGGGCATTGCAAGAGTCGTCATCGAAATTGACCAAAAATGATAAGGAAGGCCCTCAAATTTAAAATTATGGTTACAAAAGGCTACCATACTTTATTATTACATATCAAATACCCAATAGCTTGTTCATGGTAAAAATCTTCATGATTATCCTTATTCAAACTTTTTGGAGAGTATTGCCTTTAACTAAACATCATATCCATATTCAAAAGCATCTTCCTTTTGGACACTTGACTTCCTTTTTATATAAGATATAAAATCCAAATTCATATACCTATAATAATATATTCTATCAGATGATCATTAAATATATTATAAGTTGCGAGACTGAAAGTAAACTAAGAGTATAATATTATATGCAATTAAATAATCATTTTAGTAGTCATCATATATATTTGTATCATATAGATGATAAAATTGATATTTATATCAGTTTTATTAAATTCAAATATCTAATAACACACATTTGTTGTTGTGTATGAAAGTTTAACTTAATATGCAAAGTGTAACAAGGTAGTCAAGTCCTTTAAATAAGCCATGGAAATCTTCTAGATTAATACATATGAAGATATAGTTATCATTTATTAGGAAGGAATGAACAAATATTTCATATATGAGGACTTTACCTTGTAAAAAAGTAAAATAAACGAAAATATTTTTCTCAACTAAAAATAAATGGGAAGTACAAGACCAACTAGTAAAAATGATACTTTTTATTGACTTAATTACCTTTATGGGGTTTGACTACAACAAGTAGTTAAATTAAATCGATTCATTTAATAAATACATAGACAGCGGGGAAGTTGTTTCTCTTATCAGACGTAAAGGCTTATAGCCTCATTTATTCTCAATTGAATGGTTAATATCGGGGCACACATCGTAAATACGTTCATCAAATATAGATGCCTAATCCATAAACAAAACAATAGACATGTAATTAAAGTTATAGTATTTTGATAATGTATTTGTATTTTGGTAGTTTACACCTACAATGTTACATGATGTCCATGTTAGACTTTAAAATGAACTTCATTTGTTTGAATGTTGTTAACATGTTTATAGTAGTTTAATTATGACTTATGTATGTTTCCATGAATTGTTTATATTATCTAAGTAGTTTTGAATTACAAAATTTATGAAAATATATATTATTATAATAATAAAATTTTGGTTCTCTCATGATGATGTGTATGTTTGGTCATATGTTTTATGTTAGAGAAAGTAGTGATCATATATTTTATACAATTGAATCTAAGGATACATCAATTATAATGGTTTTATTCAGATAATAATACACAAAATAATTACTTTGGATAGTCCAAAATCTCATAACTATATTTTTGAAGTTAAAGAAAATGTATAATTCCATTTACATTAAAATGAATTGTTATATCTATATTTCTAATATATAAAATCATTATAACAACAATCCGTTATAAGGAACTAGTAATTCTTATATGATGAGTTTAAACTATAATCAAGTAAAAATGAAGGGAAATAACTCATCTCTAACTTATAACTAATTGAAAATACAAATTGAATTAATTGAAAAGAAATTTTATTGACAAGTAATTTAATCAAATTTACTCCTTTTATACATACCTAGAGGATATGAAAACTTATATTAGTCTCTTACCTAATTCTAGATAATGGTTAGGTACATAGGCAAAATGAAAACTTTCATTAAATATTGATTCCCTAATTCATAAAGAAAACATTAGACATGCAATTGAAATTTTAGTGTTTTGATAATGTATCTTTATTTTAGTAGTATTTGGTGTGATTATATAATGTTGTATGGTGTTTATGTTGGATAAAATTAAACAAAGTTTGATTTGTTTATTAACATTTTTAACATGTTTATGATAGTTTCCTTATGAGTTAAATATGTTTTTGTCAATTGATCATAGTAGGATAGTGTATACAAAATGTATGGAAATGCATCATTATTATAATGATGTATTGGTTCTACCATAATATCTATTTTTCATTTTTGTTGTTGGATAAAGTAGTTAGCGTCTAATTCATTTGACTAAAACAAAAGAAACATTCATTGTAGTGGTTTTATCTAAACAATAATGAACAAGATTATTACTTCTTTGGTTCCACAATCTCTTAACTAAATTCTGAAATCAAAGAAAATAAGGCACTCTTGTTAATATATATGATAACCATTTTCATCTCAATTTACTATATAATCTCATTAGAAATAAAATCCACTAGATGGTGTATTGTCCTTTTAATGTGGTTTTCCCATGTTTGTAACTAGTCGGCAAAACCAACAATACCTTAATTTAGGTAACCATTTTGTCATTTATTAATTAAAATTTGTTATAAATCCTTGTTTCATGAACCCTCTATGAATTTTAGGTATGTTAAACAACATGTCTTTGAATATGAATAAATAATATGTCAAGATTTGTTAGAGATAATGGAAGCTTATTAATCAATAAAGGTATCATGTGTGTTTATAACTACAGTTGTTGTATGAATGATTGTATATCCTCTTAAAAATATGTGATGGTATTAGTAAGTTATGTCGATAGATCTGTATGAATTAGAGTTGTTGTATGAATGATTGTATAGCCTCTTAAAAACATGTGATGGTATTAGTAAGTTATGTCGATAGATTTGTATGAATTATAGGAATTCTTAAGTCCTCTTTATAAGATAGGAATATCTCCTAAATTAGTATAAGAAGATAAAGTTAACATGCATTAGAAAAAAGGAACTAAAATTCAAATATGAGGACTTTACCTTGGAAAAGGTAATAGGGAGGAGTTTACTTTTTTAATTTTGAGATGAATTATCAATACACAATGAGCTTATTGAAAAGAGACTTTCCATCGAATTTATTCTGTTGGTTAGCTTTGACTATTATACGTAATTCCCTCAAATCAATTCTTTATATGAACTAGTAAAAAGTTTGGGCTTCGCTCCGGGTTGGCTTTTTTAGTTTTTTATTTTTTTAGTATTGTGTTATAATAGATGTAAATTTGATATCAAGAAATTACATGTTTATATTTTTTAAATTTTATAGTGTTATTTATAATTCATTAATAATTACATGTCGGTAACTATTGTAAGGTGTAGACGTTTATTGATAATATTAAGGTGTTCTATTTGAGATATAAAGGGTGTTTGAGATTTCATTTTGAAGTTAAAAATGAATTTTGTCAAAAAATACTTATTGACTTATGAATATGGGAAAATGAGTTTTTAAAAAAAGGGTTTGGATTAGTTTTTTAGTGGAAAAATGTAACACCCTATTTTGAGTCGAATCATAATTCGGGGTCGCGATCGGAGGATCAATTATCATAAGGCTTTGGGCCTTGGGGAAAGAGAGGTGTCAACCCATTTGGATGTGGGTAATGTAGATTATGTGATCAAAGAGTTCGGTTTGTGCTTTGGAGCCTAATGGTATAATGGTA